CCACTATCTGAATCTGGACGCAGGCCTGGATGAAAGAGGCACAACTGTACTTCGTGGGCCCCAACCGCATTGGGCCTGGGTACAGGTACTGGGGCCCAGGCGCAGGCTCAAGGTGAGGCCGCCCACACGCAACACTGGCATATAGGCAGAGAGGGCGAGTGGGCAGGGATCTTGGCCATTGTGAGCAAGGCCGGCACGCTGCTGCATTGCGAGTGTGCTGCGCTGCGCTAGGCTGAGTGAGGGCAGGCTGGCGCTAAGCGGTCAAGCGCAGCCTGGGCGCAGGTCGCTGGCGGCATAGCCGGGCTGCCTGTGGATCAGCACAAGACTGTTTTTCAGACCAGATACGGTCTGTATGAGTTTGTAGTGATGCCCTTTGGCCTTTGCAATGTGCAGGGTACATTCCAGCAACCAGATGGATGAAACACTTGAATGTAAGCAAAGAGGATCTAAGGAAAATCGAATGGTTCAAAACTGCCAAAATCAGGCCAACCAAGATAGCATCGTTGCAATGGTAAATAGACCATCGATGCCTCCCCACAAATGACTGGCTCATAGACAGGACCTCGCTGGAGGAGAAAAGCCTAGCCAAACCCTGGTGTAAATCATGTTTCTCTGCATTCCCAAGTAGACCCATCCCCGAGACCATAGAACACATTTTTCTGCAATGTCCGATGCAATCTGGTTATGGCGCTGGTGGGACAGAATTTGGAATTCACTAAACACTCAACAGACATGGCCGTGGGACTGGAGAGCTCTGTTATGTGAGACCTGGTCCCCAACATCGCTCGACGACTTCACATATAACTTATTTCTAACTGGAAGAAGAGCCATTCTCTGGGCTCTTTGGAACCGACGTTGTACTCTCGAAATGGAAGATGCGAGGCTCGATGGCCCGGAGATAATAGAGATGGTCAAATTGCAAGTGCAAACAGATATCACAATTCAATGGAATAAAATTAACATCCAAAAAGGAAATTCAACAGCACATCCACCAATTCAGTGGCGCCTGGCTAGGGGGGACTCAAGGAGGCAAGATCGGACAAATCAGAGAAGGAGGGCTCATGAAAAGGAAAATGGGAGGACAAACTGAGGAGGCACTAAAGGACTACTATTTGTCCTTCCAGGATTGGACAAATATAGACCCAGCCATCCCCATGCGACCCCTATCAGAGTTCCCAAACCCATTTCCCCCCTCCCCATTATCCCTGGTCCCGATGAGTTGGTATGGGCATGATGAATGACGAAAGCTCAGTGAATACTGAATATCAGATAGTACCAGTGAATATCAGCTAATGAATATCAGAACCAGTCTAGTACCAGTGATTACTGTAATATCTGGCGCCACTCATTGGAGGGTGAAGAGGTACAAGGGACGCTGGGCGGGATTCCCAGCAAACAAAAAAAAAAAAAAAAAAAAAAAAAGGTACATTCCAGCATGCCATGAATAGGATCTTCCGTGACCACTTAGATAAGTTTGTCGTTGTCTACCTGACGATATTCTTATCTTCAGTAAGTCTGTCGAGGAGCATGCACAGCACGTTGAGACTGTACTTTCACTCCTGCGACAACACAAGTATAAGGTCAACCTAGAGAAATGTGAGTTTGGACGCACTAAGATCTTATACTTGGGTCATGAAGTATCCGCGGAAGGTATTAGGCCGGAAGATGCGAAGGTGGCTAGTATCAGGAACTGGCCACGACCTCAGACTGTTACTGAGGTCAGATCTTTCTTAGGAATGTGCGGCTACTATAGAAACTTCGTAAAGAACTATTCCACAGTCGCCTCTCCTTTGACTGATTTAACTCGACTTGACACGCCGTGGGACTGGAGTGATGAGTGCGAGGCTGCTTTCAAACGACTGAAGCATGCATTCATGAATCATGAGGTTCTCATGGTGCCCGATCCTCAGAAGYCATTCATTGTAACCACTGACGCAAGCCAATACGGCATTGGCGCAGTGCTTGCTCAGCAGGATGGGAAGAAGTTGAGACCGATTGAGTATATAAGCAAAAAGATGTCATCTAAGAAACTGGCAAAGTCCACCTATGAAAGGGAACTCTATGCTCTCTACAAAGCGCTTGTCCATTGGAGGCACTTTCTGCTGGGACGGTTTTTCTATCTGAGAACTGACCATCAGACCCGTAAATGGATCAAGACTCAACCGACTCTTTCTCAACGCTGGATTGAGGTCATAGATCAGTATGACTTCAAGCTAGAGTATCTGAAGGGAGAGTACAACAAGGTTGCAAATGCGCTATCTCGTAGGGCAGACTACCTAGGGGCGCTAGTTTATGAGTTTGGTGTATCTGAAGAACTAACTCAATCGCTGGTGGGAGCCTATCAGGAAGACCCTGTCATGATGGACATCATACGCAAACTACAGGCAAAAAACAGGGCCACAAAAGATGAGTTTGTGATGGTGGACAGGCTTCTCTTTCTTGATAAGGCCGGATTTAAAAGGTTGGTTGTTCCATCTAGTGAACGTTTGCGTAGTTTATTCTTAGGAGAATGTCATGACGCAACCGGACACTTTGGCTACAAAAAGACGAGTGTCAATCTAGTACAGCGATTTTGGTGGCCCGGAATGCTCGAAAATGCAAAGAAGTACGTGGAGACCTGTCAGGTCTGTCAGCGGGACAAACCGCGAACTCAAGCACCGCTTGGGTTGTTGAAGCCCTTACCTATCCCCGCTGGTCCGGGACATAGTGTTTCCATGGACTTCATGGACACCCTGGTCACCAGTAGGAATGACAAGAGGCACATCTTTGTCATCATAGACCGATTCACCAAATACGCTAGACTAATTGCCATGCCAGAGACCGCAAGGACTGAACACGTCATCAAGTTGTTTTTGGACAACTGGGTGCGTGATTTTGGACTACCAAAGTCAATCGTTAGTGACAGAGATGTCCGCTTCACAAGTGAGATGTGGAAGAAGACTGCTGAACAAATGGGCAGTCAACTTCAGATGACTTCAGGGAATCATCCTGAAGCCAACGGACAGGCTGAGCAGATGAACAGAGTTGTACAACACCTGCTGAGGCATTACATCAAGCCCAGCCATGATGGCTGGGATGAGAAGTTGCCTCTCATCGCCAGCCTGTACAACAACGCTGTACACAGCAGTACCGGCGTTAGTCCTAATCAACTGCACTTGGGATGGAAGCCTAGATCAACTCTGGACTTCCTCCTACCTGAAAACCGATCCTCTGCAACTCCGGGCACACTTGAGTATGGTGTGCAGTATGAGAAGTTGCTACAGCAAGTTGTCGAGCACATCAGGAAAGCTCAGCAAGCAATGATTGCTTCTGAGAACAAACATCGTCGACAGTCCTCATTTCAGGTAGGGGAACGTGTCTGGGTCAAGGCTAGTGAGCTAGGACAGGAATTCGGTGTCTCTCAAAAACTAATGCCTCAGTATTTTGGTCCCTGGGAAGTCCCGGACATCGTTGGGGATGAGATGGATGGTCCTACGTATGTTATCCGTATCACCTGCGCACTCACCCTGTCTTTCATGCCTCAAAGCTTGCACCTTTCGCTGAGACAGATCAATTCTCTTCAAGGAGATCGATGCTGCCCCCAACCATGGATGGCCAAGTGGACATCGACGACATTGTGGATCACAGAGACTTGCCTGTTCCAAAGCCGCTGGGTCGAGGAAGACCTCCCAAACCCAAGAGAGAATATCGCATCAGATTCAAGCATCATACGGATCCAAAAAAAGATCAGTGGTTCACCAGAGAGGAACTAATTGACACAGCTCCTCAAGTGGTGGCAGAATATGAGAGAATGATAAAAGGGAAGGCACCTGCGAAGTAAGCATCTCAGCGGACTTTCGAAGCTAAGGGGGATGGAATGTGAGGATTGARCCCTCAAAGGGGCCTTGCCGTGATGTACATGTTCTGGGCCAAGGCCMSCAGCAAGCATCGTGCCCGCCCTAAGTGAAGGCGGGCCAGCAAATSAACGAGAGCCCTCTGTTCAAACATTTGGGTCCATACAGTTGCCGCACGCCAGTTGGTTGGAGTGCACCGAGTACCGGATCTCTGCAAAAGCAGAAGGA